CCGGGGGGGGGGGCTCAGTCGGTTAAGCGTCCGACCCTTGGTTTCGGATTGGTTCGTGAGTTCGAGACCCGCGTCGGGCTCCGCTTGGGCAGCGCGGATCCTGCTTGGGATTCTCTCTCCCCTGCTCTCCGCCCCTCCCCGGCTTGCGCTCTCTCTCTCTCTCTCTTTCTCAAAATAAACTTAAAAAAAGAAAGCTGAGCTCCTGGGCCTGGCGATTGGACAGTGGGCGTGGGGTCTGTGCCGCAGGGTTATGGTGACTCTGACGTGGCCCCCCTACCCCCACCCCTGCAGGAAGAAGACAGAAAAGAGCCTGACCTATTACACGAACCTGCGGGCGAAGACAGGCCAGTGGACCCTCATCAACCCCAGGCCCTGCGGCCAGTTCTGCTGTTGCAAAGTGCCGGGGTGCGAGTGGGTGAGGGCCCGGCCCCCCGCGGGAGTGCCACGGGGTCCCCGCCGCCCGCGCAGGGCCCGTGGTCACGAGGGGGTGCGTGTCCTCAGGAGGATGCCGTCTCCTACTACGCGCACATGAGGGACAGGCTGCTGGAGAGGATCGCGGACGAGGAGCGCCGGGTGCAGGAGCAGCCCCTGGGCATGGCCTTCGTCACCTTCCAGGAGAAGTCCATGGCCACCTAGTGAGTGGGGCGCGTCCGGGGCCCTTTGTCCCCTCCAGGTGACTTGGGACCCGTCCCTGGGACGGGCTGAGGCTGGGGCAGGCCACACTCCCCCCATCATCCCAGCCCGGGTGCGTGTGACACACGCGGGGTGATGCTCGCTCGAGGTGAGTCCCTCGTGGGTTGACGTGGCCTCACCCCCGGTCCGAGCTCCCACCAGCCGTGCCAGGGAAGGCATCCAGCATTCTGCCGCCCCTCTTCAGATGTCCACTCTGGACCGCAGATGATTTTCTGTGCTGGGCTTTCCGTCGCACAGACGCACAGACCCCAGGCACTGGGGGTCTCCCTGCTGCAGAGCTGGGGGCCCCGGGGCCAGGCTGCGGAGCGCACGTGGGCCCCAGCACGGGGCTCTGGCTCCTGGAGTGGCGTCACGCCTGGGGTGGGGGACGCAGGCGGCCACACAAGTGCCCCTTCCCTGCCCTCTCTGTGGGCACCGCACACCCGGGAAAAGTCCCCCGCAGCCAGGCCAGAGCCAGGAGGGGCTTGTGGAAAGGGGGGCGTGCCGAGGCAGGAGTGAGGGGCGTGGAGACGGCGGGGGTCCAGGTGGCAGTCCGGGGGGGGGCCCTGGGCGTCAGGGTGGGAAGAAGTGAGGACAGCGAGGCCCTGGCCCTGCCACGCGGTGCGTCCGTGGCCCCGGCTTCCTGGGCGGCCGGGGGTGATGATGGCGCAGGGAGCAGCCGTGGTCCGGGGGTGCAGCGGCCAGACGGGGTGCGCACCTGAGCCGGAGAGCCGCGGGATCCTGACGTGGAGGCAGGAGTGACCCCCGGCTTGCCGCGTGGTCCTGAGGATGAGACCAAGTCCTCCCCGTGAGCCGTAGCAACGGCTAACCTAGCAACCCGCTGATAGAGCAACAGCCTGGGGCCCCGCGGCGCCCGCCCTCACTGGGTCCTCTCTGCGCGTGTGCGCGGTGCCCCTGGTGCCTGGGCCACAGCCACGTCTGCTCTTCCTTCCTGGCAGCATCCTCAAAGACTTCAACGCCTGCAAGTGTCAGAGCCTCCGGTGCAAAGGCGAGCCCCAGCCGTCCTCCTGCAGCGCGGAGCTCTGTATCTCCAAGTGGACGGTCTCCTTTGCCACGTACCCGGAGGACATCTGCTGGTGAGGCCCCGGCCCTGGACCGGGGAGGGGGGAGGGGCCCCAGGCCGGGCATCACAGGTGCGAGCTGGCCTTCAGGGCCCCCCACCATAGCTCCTGGCTCCCCTCTGGGCCTGGGGCGGGCGTGGGGGGATGCGTCAGGTGGAGGGGGGCATCCACACCCGGCACTGCGCTCCAGTGATGCCCCCCGGCATCCGGGGTGTCCGGGAGCCACGTCTATAATTTCTAGTTTCCTTTCGGCCGCGTTGAAAAAGTAAAAGGAAACTGTTCAACTTAATTTCATAATCTCTCTCTCCCTATATATCCGAAATATTATCACTCTAACGTGATCAGTTACCTTCTAGTGGAGATGCGTCTCTTTTTCATACTTAGTAGCTCTGAAGTCCAGCGTGTATGTTCTCTTGAGTCGGACCAGCCCCGGTTCAGGGCTCGGTAGCCCCTGGCTGCTGTATCGTGTGGTGTTAGGTCTAGCCCGGGGACACGCTGCTGAGCTCGGCCGCGTCCACGGGGGCCGTTGGTGAGCCTTGAGCACAGTGCCGGGGGTGAGGGCAGCCCCAGCAGAGCCCCCAGCATGGCTGGCCTCAGCTCCCCACCCAGAGCGAGTTTTGGGAGCATCTCCATGGCTCTGAGCTGGCCTCTGATGGTTCACAGGGCTTCCCAAACGTGGGGGCAGCGTGCTGCTGTGTTCTCGGTGGGGTGAGAGGCCAGCATGGCTGCCGTGGGGCCTGGGCACTGCTGTCCCCTCCCTCCCTCCCCCTGCGTGCACCCAGCCCCCGGCCCCGTTACGCTGGTCACCAGTCCTTGCGGACATGGCCGTGTCGTAGCCTCGTTCTGTCTGTCTGGGTGACCGTGGAGTCCCTTTGGTGGGTTCTGGCCCCCGGGCTGTGGCCGGGGAGCCGTGTGAGCGGTGGATAACCTGTTTTCCCTCTGAACTCAAGGGGACCCCGCATTTGACCTTGCTGGAGCTGAAGGTTGGTGCAGAGGGCTCACCTGTACTCCTGGGGTCCAAGTGCCTCAATCTGGTCTCTTGCCGGGCCTTGATGTGACCCGCTGACCCACCTGGGGGCACCGGGGGCGTGGTCGGCAGCCCCGCCTGGGGGGGGTCTCAGCCTCCAAGCCTGTGTCCCTTCCTGCAGGAAGAACCTCTCCGTCCAGGGCTTCCGCTGGTGGCTCCAGTGGCTGGGCATCAACTTCACTCTGTTCGTGGGGCTCTTCTTCCTGACCACCCCCGCCATCATCCTGTCCACCATTGACAAGTTCAATGTCACCAAACCCATCCGTGAGCTCAACGTGAGTGACCACGCTACAAGCCCGTCCTGCAGGGCTGGGGACGAGAAGGCGTGGTGGGGGGGTGGTGGTGGCTGGAGCCCAGAGACGTGGGGGCTGAACCAGGAGCCGTGCCTCTCAGCTCACGTCCGTGCCTTTAGGCCTTGAGCAGGTGTGGCCACATTTATGACACTGGTTTACGACACACGCGCGCCCGTGCGTGTTTGAGAAATCAATCTGAACGTTCAACGGTAGGGTCATGTGAGCTGAACGGCACATACTGATGGAAAGTTAAGTATCTGTTACATAATCGTCGACTCGTTGATTCTAGATAGGCAACAAATGATTATTTAAAATCTTAGACGAATCGAGACAACGAAACGCTTCCTGAACTGGGCTCTGCTTGAAAACAATATTGGTTTCCCCAGGGCATCTGGGGGCTCAGGCGGTTAAGCGTCCGACTCTTGGTTTTGGCTCAGGTCGTGATCTCACAGTTCGTGAGATCGAGCCCCTGTGTCAGGCTCTGAGCTGATAGCGTGCAGCCTGCTTAGGATTCTCTCTCTCCTGCTCTCTCTCTCTGTCCCTCCCCTGCTCGCTCTTTCAAAATAAATAAATAAACGTAAAAAAATGAAAAAGATACTGATTTCCCATAATTGGCTCTGTTGAAATATCCCCCTAAATCTTTTTCTTTTTTCTCCAGTTCCACTTGGCATTCATTCAGTCACGCTCAGGGCAAGCACGCGGGGCTAGAAGGCGTGAGGGCCTCACTGTGCCGTTCCCCAGCTGACGAATTCCGAACCCTTGGTTTTCATCCCAAAGCTGGGGCAGAGGCACCTGCCGGATGATCCTGGTGGGGTTCTGGTGATGGTGACCACATAAGCTGTTGTGTGGCCCAGGCCTTCTTACCCGACTACGTGTATAACAATAATAACCCCTTGCGCACATTAAGAATTTTGTTTATCTTTAAAAGCGTGTCCGTGTTCACGCCTTTGCGCATCTTTGGATGTATGGCCAAGTCTGTTCTTTTGAGGGTGGAATCGGCCGAGTGGAACCCTCTTTGCTGATTCTCTCTAAATCAGTTCGGTTTCTTATGGTAAAGCAAGAATCTACAGATATTTGCAACACTGTTCTAAGAACAGGACCCTCCTGGATCTCATTCCCTCCGTTTTCTACAGTTCATTTACTCTAGTCTCATTCAATAGCATTAAAAAAATTTTTTTATGTTTATTTTGTTTTTGAGAGAGAGAGAGAGAGACAGAGTGCGAGCAGGGGAGGGGCAGAGAGAGAGGGAGACACAGAGTC